TTGCTGTCTTCACATAAGAGTATGTGAATGATAAGCTGTTAGAAGTAAAAGAGCTCATAGATATAAAATTCTTAGCATTACATTTAGTCCAAGTCCTCATTAAATGCACATGAAAATCATGATAATTTACTCCAACAATGATTGAACATTTACAAGAATCCTTAGTGCTATACAAGTGTGTTTTTGTGGCTTACTAATTGTTGCATATTAGAAGAGAAGGTAAAGCTTGATTCCTTTGATCAGGATTTCTCAACTTGATCACTATAGACAGGTAGGCACATTGTTCCTTGCTCTAGGGGGCTTCCCTGTGCACTGTAGAATGCAGCATCCCTGGGCTATCACATACTAGACAGCCATAGCACTATCTTCCTCCCCATTTGTGATGAACAAAAATGTCTCCAGACATTGCTGCATGTCTCCTGGAGGACAATATTGCTCTTAATTGAAATTGAAAACTATAGTCTTTGATCAATTCTTTGTAAATAGTGTTCGTGGAATACTGGCCTAGTGAAATTCTCCACTAAAAACTCCCAGAGTCAGATGAGATGAGAAGCATTTAAAAACAATTTAACAGCAATAATAATAATAACGTTATTTTTTGGTTAGCTTATTACATGTGACAAATTGTTCTGTTCTTATTAAATCCTTATAAAAGACTGAGTTATTATTGTAAGGCACATTTTTTCATATGTGCAAATGGAGCCCCAGAGAAATCAAGGGCTTAAACTGACCACCATCATAAAATTAGAAAGTGGCACACCAGAGTTTGTTTCCGAGCCACCTCCAGAGAGTGTGCTGTTATCAAGACACTATTGTCCCCTGCATATCCAGCTTAATTGAACATTCAAATTGGGATGTTAATAATAATTATTCTTAATTTGTGATATTTATTAGGTATTTATCTCAAGCACTTACAAAATTACCTTTTGTCTTAATCAGTTGATGACAACCTCCTAATTATTTGCTAAATGGTTGTCCTCATAAACATCTTTGGATGCAAGCAACGTAGTCACTTTCCCTGAAAAAATTAATCAAAATAACCTCAGATAAATTCAGATGGCCAGTAACTGAGGAGGGAGAAACTCACTTTGCTTTAGGAAAGCAGAGAACATTTAACAGGGAGATAATATTTGAATTGGGCCTTTAATCATCCTGTTAAAGTTGGATGACTAAGTGCCTGCCAGGTGGAATGGCATTTTAATCAGAGTAAACAGGATATACAAAGGACAACTGTAAGGGTTTGATATGCTTGGGGAATGGTGGGAGCCAAGGACAGGAAGTAGGAAAATAAGAATAGAGGGAAGGTTGGGGTCTTCATTGTTATTTCTGCCTGATCCCCACAGGCATTTGACTCTGTCTCTTTAACTCTTAACAGCAGCAGAAGGTTGAGAGCACAGTAGTGACATGGTCAGGTAGATACTTAACAATGTAGCTAAAGTGGATGGTGTTTGGTGGTAGGAGTCTTCATGAACACTAAGGCAGCACTTTCAACAAGAGATAGTGAGGTAGGGTAGAGCAAGGGGTTGGGTATGAGGGAGGTTATTAAAATGAAGGATAGGGAAAATCCTCTTCTAACTGGGCTTTTAGAAGAAATAAGTAGAATTTATTTGTTTCCTTTATATTAATCTTATTTTAAGTGCTTAACTCAAAAGCTAATTCAAAATTTGATTAATTCATCCATATATCAATCATGTATTGAGTATCTAGGGCCAAGCTAGTTCTATGAGACAAAATAATGCACTTTCAAGGAACTAATGGAAATGACTTGGTAGCTATTCTGGCAGGAGAATTTTCGGTAACCTACTATAGATTCTACAGATGATCTTCTGGAAGCAGTTCTCATCCCCATTTGGATTTGCCATAGAAATTGAAAATTCAAATTGTTTGGTTCAGAGCTACAGGAATTGTATTCCTCCCTTTTGGGTCCAGACCATTGTCTGCATTTCTGTCTAACTATGTCACCTGGGAATGATGAGTCAGCATTTGTGGAGATTCAACCAGATATTGAATCTCCACAAATGAATGTTGAAATGTTGAGAAGACAATGGCCATACATGATTGTTATATGGATGAATTAATCAAATTTTGAATTCACTTTTAAGCATTTAAAATAAGATTAATATAAAGGAAAAACACCCCTTCAAGCCTTCAATAACAATTTTCCTATTTCATTCCTTACTGCAATAGCAAATGGATCATGCCCCAAACTACTCTAGCATAATACCAAATGGACTTTTACCTCTATGTGTTATACAATAGATTTTTATGACTTTATTATTTAAATTCAAAATTATCATACAATCCTACATATTTTACCATGTTATTTTTTTCCAAATGTCTTCCTCAAACTAGACCTTTAAATAATTTTCCATACTTCAGTTTATTTAAAATGAAGCATTTTATTTTACCACTGATATAGATTTTATAATCCCACCCCTCTATGTTTAGAAGGAATGTTTCAATAATGTTTAGAAATTATGTTTTAATAATTTTTATAGTTGTGACTAAAGCCATAAACAGTAGTCTTATCCTACTAAATTAATAGTCTTTATCCACTTTTCAGATGGGCAGATAGAAGGTCAGTACAGTAAAACAAGATCTCATAGTTCCCTAACTGTACTATAAAGATCAAACTTGGGTCTGCAAACACAGAAAAAACTGTGTGCTTTCTATGACATCCTTCTTTTTTATTATTTTATTTTATTTTTTAGTTTTCAGTGGACACAACATCTTTATTTTTATGTGGTGTTGAGAATCAAACCCAGTGCCCTGCGCATGCCAGGCGAGCACACTACTGCTTGAGCCACATCCCCAGCCCTATGACATCCTTCTTTATACATATTTTACCACCTTTCTATTTCAGCTGAGTTTTCACATGATCTATAGCTGATATGTTGCCTCATGTTGCTAGTTCTAAGGATCTCTTACTTACCTGTGTTCTGGAATACCATTGTTATCTCTGTGCTTAAAAGACTAATTGATGGCCTTACCTGCTTATATATATAAAAAAATAGATTGACAGGGCAGATTAAATTATAAATATTCAAAGTTATGATTGTATATCATTAATAGTAACATATCTTCCAACACATTGTGGCTTGGGCCAAGAAACAGACACTGCTACCTTAGCTTTGTGGAATATCACTTTAGAAAACTATTCACAGGGCTGGGATTGTGGCTCAGTGGCAGAGTGCTTGCCTTGAACATATGAGGCACTGGGTTTGATCCTCAGCACCACATAAAAAAATAAACAAAACGAAGGTATTTTGTCTGTCTACATTTAAAAAAAATTTTTTTTAGAAAAGAAAACTACTCACAAAATATTTCAAGATCCAAGAAATAATGATGTACATAACCTTTGTCACTAATTTTAGAGCTAGAGCTATATGCAATGGTAAAAATCTTTACTCACAATGTTTTTTTTTAAACCAAATATAAACGTTTTTACTTTGATAAACATGGACAAATTCAAAACTTCTAAATAAATGTCATTGCCTTTGCTGCCTGGACACCTTCCCCACTGCAAAATAGGAGATACATTTGGTCCAAATCATCAGGATAATTGATTTAGACCTGTTTCATTTGTGATAGGGAACTTCAGTCCTAGAATAAAAATCTAATGTTCTATCTGCTATGAAAGAATTAATAGTCTTATTACTTCTTACACGCTCTTTTTTTTATGTGAACATTTTAGGTATATCAATACATGCATGAAACGATAACTGTTAATGGCTGTCCCGAATTCCGTGCAAGGGCCACAGCAAAGGTAAGGCTTGAATAACTTTAAAAATATACTTGACCACAGTGATCTAGTAATTGACTGTGCGCGTGTGTGTTTCAGGTATTCTCGTGTGTACACTGTAAGAGAATTTAGACATCAGTGGCAGCCCAGAGTCTAGAACCAGTACTACTTCCCAGGTAAAAATCCTAATGGAAAATTGAACGTTTCTGCTGCTTCTGTAGCTTAAGAAAGGAGAATGATTTCATTAAACTCACTGAATGTCCATTTGGCACAAGCAAATCTCCTGGCTCATTGTATAAAATGCTACATGGTTTTCTAACACATTCCTCTGCTCCAAAAGAACCTATATACTACTCAGTGTATGAAAATTCCTTTACTCAGGTCTAAAGACCTAAAAAGAAGTTATGTATGACAGTAACACACCTGCACCCACTGATGCATAAGCTTCTTTGTATTCAGCTGAGCAGTGGGTAACTTGCTGAAAGAATGTGGCATTTACCTAAAGGGAAGACCTGTCACATTTTGTGGTAGTGACCACTGTGCACTTTAAAAACCCCAAATGCAGACGTTACAGAGACCCTTGTAATGAAAATGCTATAGCCACACGATCATGAAATTTTCTGGAATCTCTACCATTAGGAAACAGTTTTAATCTAAAATCACTGATGCAATTCACATTTCACAAATACAGAAATGTTATAATAGAACATGAC